AAGGGGCCTCTGCTGTTTCAACTGGTAGGTTAAATTATTAAGTTGTTCTCCATTTGAAGACTTCCTTTTCATGCTGAGGAATGCATATGGTTTTAAAACATCTGTACAAAGAGTTAAAATTTCTTTTGTTTCAGAAGATTTACCATTTTGGAAGAGAGAGCTTCTGTTGTGACTTCTTTCTTCCTACTTTCTTTTCCTCCCACCATCCTCCACATCTACACAGTATTTGATGATTTCTAGGTTTCCTTTTGTGTTATTATTTTGACAATCAAGCCAGTAACACTAATTTTTTGTTCAGTGAGAAGAAAAAAAAAAAAAGTCATTTTCAGGTAGAATAATTAAAGTAGGTACTTCCGGTAAATTTCACTGTTCATCAAAAATTGTTATGGCAATGGCATCCAGGAACAACAGGAAAAGGGGCAGAAGAGGGCTGAATTTATTTCTTGAAAACTATGAAGAATTGACAGCTGTAGAGAATGAAACTGGTTGAGTTTTTCCATTCTGCTTTACTGATACATTTCATGCAGTGTGACTCATGTGATTCAGGATACATACTCAATCTGTCTTGGCAGACATCAGGTTATGTAGAATCATATATTGTGCATGTATGAGTGAGTGAGAATAAGAGGGGGAGGGAGAAAGACTGTGGGCATATATGCATAGTAAATACAACTTTATCTTCCCATCATTTTTGCAGCCTTAGTAAATCCTGGTCATACAATTAAAATTAGTTTTATGCACTTGCACAGCCAGTTACAAGTCATCTAGGGCAATGACAAGGGCTGTGGTTGCGTATTATTCTACCTGGTGATACTCTACACATTGCTGGCAGCAGCCACTGGCCCCTATCTAGGCAAATAATGTAACCATATTGCATAATGCGTCTGTCTGATTGCCTTTCAAGACCAGAAATAATAACTCTGAGACACTGTCTAACCTCATGTGCGATACGAGACACAGAGTACCCTAAAAAGCGACAATATCTGGACTGCTGTTCCCCACAAAGAGATAAAAATAGGCATTCTTCCTAATGTCCTGAGAGAAAAAAGAACACACTGTGCTCTTTTATTTTCTCAAAATTCTCCGTATACAACCTTGCTTTCTTCCCTTTGACTCTGAATCCATTATTATCTGTAAGATTTGACAAGCAAATGCAGTTTAGTGTATGGTTTGTTTATGAAGCATTAATTCAGAGTCCTTGAACTGTTGAAGCTGGTTATTTGTGTTGGGTGCTTAGCCACTGAAGTCATAAATATTTTTTCTGCTTCCAGACATTGACTTGAAAGTTGTAGAAATAAAATGAACGCCAAATAATGAATTCATCTGCCAAATTAATAATATATTTCGTCATGATATTATTAATCATTTATAAATACCAAGAAGATTTTTAACATGATCATTCTGGAAGGCACTCATGCATGTGAATACAGGTATATGACACCAGCGTTAGCTGGTGCACATTTTCAACAATGGTTTGTTTTAGGGTTTTTTTTGTTTCCATACAGGAACATGGTAATGTATTTTTAATTTATTTAGGTGAGCAAAATTGCCACTAAACCCTGCTGAGACTTTGTAGATATGCCTCTGTACATGAAAGATGTGCTCATTCTTATATAATCATATCTTTCCATCATAGTGTCTTATCTAATAGCCAGGACCATATCTCTTTCAAATATAAAATGCCTAAAGTTCTGTTGATGATAAAAAGATGAGATATTTAGATATATACAGTTATTTACTGTATGTGGTTGCCATAATGCATCAATAATACAATTTATCTGTTTTTTTTTTCAGTTGTCAAAAAAGTGTAAAACCAAAATCAACAGAAAAACGTGTTTTTGCATTCTTTGAGATCAGTCTGTCAGAATTCTATTGGCAACTGTGATTTTTTTCAAAGGTTTGTCATCTCTTGAACCAGCTGAAAACAGAAGACCATTTTAATTATTTTCCTGCATTGTATGCATGCTGTAGATAAGAGATACAAAGATGATCAGGGGGGCTGGAATACCTCTCCTATGATGACAGGCTGAGAGAGTTGGGTTGTTCAGCCTGGAGAAGAGAAGGCTCCAGGGAGACCTTAAAGCAGCCTTCCAGTCCCATCTAAATGGGACCTACAAGAAGACTGGGAAGGGGCTTTTTATAAGAGCAAGTAGTAACGGGAGAAGGTAATGGCTTTAATCTAAGAAAGAGTAGGTTTAGATATAAGGAACAAATTCTTTACTGTGAAGGTGATGAGACACTGACACAGGTTGCCCAGAGAAGTTGTGGATGCCCCATCCCTTGCAGTGTTCAAGACCAGGTTGGATGAGGCTTTAACCAACATGGAAGGTGTCCCTGCCTACAGCAGGGAATTGGAGCTAAGTGATCTTTAAGGTTCCTTCCAACCCAAACCATTCTATGATTTTACATTTCTATGAACACATACAAAAGACCATAATATGTAACAGAAATTGTACCAAAAATACAAGCCTATATATATTTTCATTTACAGTTTCAGTCTTTGTTGTACAGTGAATGTTTTAAGATTCTGGAAATCAGTATTTGGAATTTGCTAGGAGATATAGAAAAATTCCATAACAAACCTTCTATTTTCTGGGGTATAAGAAGGTCATTAGATCTACTTTTCTATTAAGAAATTTTCTTAGAAATTTCAATACATTTCATTTCCAAATCATGGACTTCTAATGTTTACGCTAAAGGAGTCACCTTTCACTATCTCTGAAATAAAATAAACATGCTCTTAATCTGCTTACTCAGTTTGGTCAGCTATGGGTCTCATGGAAAGGCTGCTGAGCAGTTAGTTAGTGGTATGCACAAATATGAGATCAGTTCTTAACGCTTCTGTACTCCCTCTTGGGTAGCTCATCTACACATCTACAGAGTTGAAGACAGTAATCTGATAAACAGATTTCAGGAGCAGGTATACTCATGAGTTCAAATGCAGTTTTGAGCCAAAGCTGAAAACTCGTGAAGATGATGTGTTCGAACTGAGACTGGATACATAAAAATGTTCACAGAAGAAAACGTACTGAAATTAAACCTATGATTGCATTATTTACTTCTGCTTTTCAGTAAACATTTATTTTCTGTCTTGCTTAAGTAAATACATGGGTTTGCTCATTTCCTTATTACAGGCATAGTTGCTGTTCAATACGCTTCCTATAACTGATACACGTTTTCAAATATATTCAGAAACAACCTTACTACTCTTAGATCCAGCCTATGAAGAGAACATGTTCATACTAAGCAGGTGTGTTCATACTAATCAGGTGTACAGCACTAGTGATCAGGAAGGAACACCTGTGAATATTTATCTGTTACCAGGCACAACATTTGTGTCAGACCAGTAGACAACCCTCACTAACTAAAAATAGAAAAACAATTACTTTATTTCTTTTATTGTTGCAAATGTCAATATAGGAGCTGAAGCATTAAAAGTGTAGTGGGAGATCTAGTCAACACTGGAAAAAACACTTGCTCTTTAGAAGTTTATTCAAAAGCAAAAAGTACACGCATTGCCTAGTCTTCCTTCTCATTAATCATTTATTGTGGATAACAAATCTTTGTGAGAAACAAAAATTGAACCTATAATAAAAAAAATAAATGTTCTACAGAATGCACAAAAGCTATTATAAAGAGATACTCACAAAACATAGATTAGTGATAAAGGCTTCACTTCATCACCTGGCAACCTTAACCATAACTGTCACCATTGCAAGCAAGGGAAGATAAAAGTTTTGTGATTCTGGGACTAATACATTTAAATTAATTATACAATTTAAGCTGCTATTTATGTGAATAAAATTATAACACATGAGATGAAACCTGCTGAAATGAAACCAAACTCTCAGCTATATTGCTCTTTTCAGGTGTCAGGTTTTGGAGTTTCAGTGCTTAAAAAAATGAAATCTCTTCCCTTTTTTATTGAAAACAGGTCTAGGAAGAAGGCAAATAATCAGTTGACTGTATTGCTTTTCAGTCTGGGATAAAGGAAAAGTAGATACTAAGATTTTCAGATATTCTAAATGAATGCAAAAAGGAAATTTTTCCTGTATAACAACCTAGATAGCAAGTATCTAGATGGTAAATAATGTACTTCAAAACAGATAAGTGGAAAAAAAGAAATGGGAAGCAAACAAAACTCCCTTGGTAGTGAGCCTCAAAGATTTTTCATCACCTTCATAGCCTAGTGTGAAATCTATTTTTGTATGATCAGATGTGAAATTTTTCTGTGCCTGAAAGGCTAGTTTAATCCTTATGACAGAGACCACTGATCAGAAGAAAATAAGCAAAAGAAACTTAAATTTGCATGTTTATTTTGCTTTTCTGTTTAAATGATGCTAGTCATTGTAATAATCACAGATCCTGCAGCCATGGCTACACAGCATCAAATGACAGCATCTTTAATGTGTACCTTTTAGTTTCCAAATGCAGACAGTGGTCCTCACTGTTACAGTTTTTTTCCCTAGTCTGCACCTGTCATTGATCAGAAAATGTGTTTCTGCTGTGGACTGGATAAGGTTTTATTTGAAGGGAAGCAGCACCATCTATTGCAACCTGATAGCTTAGCTCTGGATGATATAAAGAGCAGAGCTGGCCTGAGCCCAGTGTTAAGCTCTTACTTGTACTTTCAGAATTTTTTCTCAGACCTGGTTCATATGAGGCTAGGATCTCAGTTTTTATATGATACAGGGAGAGGGGGTTGTGGCACGTGTGCATGTGTCTAGTAAAAAAGTGCATCTAAGAGACATACTTGTTTACAAACAAAGATAAAATAACAGCATAAGCTTAGTCTTGACTACTTCTTTTGAATGACTTGGCTGAAATTCTAATTTCTGAAGTCAGAAGATAGTCAAAAGTTTAGAGTATGTTTTACTCAGGTGATATTCTCTCAAAATTTACTTAGAAGCAGCATTAATATAGGTGTACAGTACAGTATGTTCTAATAATGGCAAGGCTATTTTCATCCATCTCTACCTCTGGTTCTTCTCTTTTTCCAGATTGTCTACAAAGCCTGGCTCTGTTCCCAGTATTTTGAAGTCACACAGTTTCACTGCAGCAACAGAATTCCTTGCAAGCAATACTGTTTGGAGGTTCAGACGAGGTGTCCCTTTATATTACCAGACAATGATGATGTCATCTATGGAGGACTATCAAGTTTCATCTGTACAGGTATAGTATAGAAAGCTAATTTCATTTGTTTTCAGTCTATATGTATGGGAGAGTGTGGATAATGTTTCTTCCATTAGCACTATGAGAACCTGAAGGTATTCCCTGTCACAAATACAAGTGAGCACACCTCACCTATCAGAGGTGGTAGGATTTGAGCCCAGATTTAGTAATGCACATTTATGCTACAGCTTGCCATAGTCATTATCTTTACAGAACAAACTTACTAGAATAAATTGGTTCTGGTTTGGGTTTTTTTATGCTTAATAATTTGGTGGAAGAGTTTTATTGCTCCGTATCATGCAGTGCTTGAAGAAAAGAAGCTCTGTGTCATGCAATATTCAGAAAAAAGAAAAAAGCCAAGTCCAGTTTTTAGTATATTCACCTTTGTTCACCTGCCTTCTTAAGTTAAATAAACAAAGATTCTGAGGTGTAGCAATCAAAACTGTGCAGCTCTTTGAAAGTAAACGTCTAAGGAAAAGGTCTGTCACTAGTGAAGAATTTTAAGAATTAGTTCTTCACCTGTAAAGAGCTGATTTTTTGGTCTCTTCTTGAGTCATTTTACATTCTGTGAGTAATTTTTAAAGGTACTGCTAATATAGGTCTACGCAATTATAAAATGCTTTGGTTCATTTAACATTCCATTCTTCTCAAACACTATCTCAGAATGACCCAACCAGGGAGGACATAGTAGGCAAGAAGTAGTTTTAGTGCATCTCAGGTGCCTCACACACTTTTTTCAGGACTGGCTGAGAGACATCCTCACAAAACTTCAGCTTATATCACTATCTGCAGCTTTCCGGTGTCTAGAGTATCACCTGAGAATCTTGATGATATTTAGGCACCTTATTCCCACTGACTCAGTGAAAGGCACTTCAACACTTAGATTTTGTGACATCCTGATCCAAATATCTGAAATTAGACATCTTTAACATTAAATTAGGGTTGCACTGTAAACCTTGATACAAAAGCAGTTGCCCGTGGTATACTACTTAAAAGCGGAGTAAAATATATAACCCCATAAATGTTTGCGGCAACTCACTTCACCTTATAACTGTGTTTGGATTTAGGGAGGTTCTGGTAGCCTATTGCACAAAAGTGAGCAATATTCATCCATATGCAAAAGACAATATAATGAATTGTAACCTGAGTTACAATTTGGTAGTCATCAATAACGTAATGTATTTAGCACTTCAGTGCATTTCAGAAATATGCCTTCCAGTGTGCCTACACCATAAGCAAATGAGTGATATTTTCCAGTTTAAAATAGGACAGTAAAAGCTGAAGTGAGAAGCTTAGGACATTTTTATTTATAACATGTATATGATATATATGTGTGTATATGCACATATATACGTGTGTGTATATATATACATACACAATGGCAAAGAATAAACAAACAATAAACACAACCATATGTCCTGGGTTTAGCAGTAGCAGTCAATTTTTCTCCTTCTTGGAGAAACCAGGACACCATATTTGTAATTATTTCAGAAAATCTCTTGGGAAATACATATCCGCATCTTCATTTTTGTTATTTTATCTCCAAGTCCAAATTCATTCCTAAGACACACAAAATAGATGACTTTGCAAAGATTACTTAGTTAGTATCTGGGGATGAAAAGCAGATTTTGCAAAGGATTAAATTCATTTTACTGCAGGTATTAGTAGCATAAATTGTGATTAAATTCTCACTAGGGACACTGAAGATCTGGTGTAGTCAGTACAGCTATTTAATTCAGTCTAAGTAGGCATCTGCACCTCACAAGCTGACTAGCTCTCTATGCTCTGCTAACAGTGCTGGCTGCTCTTGTTTGCTGTAGCTGCTATTAGTCACCAAAGTCTTATTGTAGACTTTTAAAATCAGGGAAACCTCAATCTCATCTCAGCAGTCCATTAATATTTAATTGAATTTTTTGTCCTCTCAAGTCAAGACCCGCAGAATCAGCAGAGCAGAGCTTGTATTCATGGACCCATAGGAGTCAGCATGCTGATGCTAGGCAGCTGTCTACAAGAGATGATGATAAGTACAAGGCTGCAATTCAAACTTTGTCCAGAATACAGGCCCATGGTCAACCTCTGCAGCTCTGTATAAGAGGACTTCCTTCTGCTAAACAAGGTATTAGACTAATAGCTGCTGTGGGACTGAAGAATTACATTTCTCTGCAGCTTAGTTAAAACAGTACAGTGAGTTCAACAGCAGAAAAAAATACTCTACTTCAGCATGGCTTGTGGCTTGACAGTTAACTTGAATTCCTTTTGCAGAAAAGCAACTGAAAGCAGGTCACCACTGTCTTGAGGAACCTCTTCTGCTGCTCTCTCTGTGAGCTCCTGTTTGGCAGACATGTTCTGGGATTTCTGCTCTTCCTGTCATTTGTGAAATTCATTGGCAAAACCCAGAAGAGTCAGATCAAAGATATATCTATTTGATATTTAAGTCCTATAACTGGTTGTCTGCTGTCTCCAACTGATCTAACTTCACTGTGAAGCTGGTCACCAAGCTCTGCTACACGAAACAAAACAGGAGCAAACTTTATGTTCAGATTTTCCTCATGAACAGCATTTTGCCACAGCCTGTCATTCATTGAAATTACTCTTGAATATCCCCTGCTGCTCCTGACTCTGGTGGTATCCCATGCAGAGAAAAGCTATAGGTCCTTTTTTGAAATTTTCACTTACATTTTCAGAGAAACCCAGCAGGAACTGAACGGGGTTATGTTGGTGCAGTATTCTTTTATTCGATGAGACTAATGAAAGACTATCTAGATAGCTAAGAAAAACTATTAATTAGTAAATAGTTTCTACAGAAAATAAATGAGCCCCTCTAAACAGGATGACTTATCTGAGAAACATCAAGAATTTGTGGATTCTGATTTTCTTTAATAATGTTTCAGAAGCAACAATTTTGTAATACGGGCTTTCCTTCCTCCTCTCCATGTTAACAGACTATTTCCTCTAAGGTCCAGTAGAGATTGAGGCTAATTGAAGGACAGAAGATTGACTTCTATAAAACATTTCAATATACTGTGGAAGGCAAGTAATAGAAAAAGGGTACTGGTGATAACTGGTTTTGATGTTGACTACAGCACAGAGTGCAGGATGTGTGAATGTTACATGTCATTTTTCAGTTGCAGCTGAGTAAGAGACTGGTGTGGCTCCATGTCACTGGTGGCACTAGGAGCTGCTGCAGCAATACCAAGCCACTGCCTCCCCTCGCCAGCCCTCTTCCACCACAGCAGTAGGCAGGCGCATGGTGGCATCAGTGGGCAGAGAACCCACAGACTTGGGTTTTTTGCTTTCAGAACAGAATTTTCTCAAGGTTGGATGCTGTAAAAACAACAAAACAAAAAAGTACTGGAGGTTGTGAAAATGAATAAGAATAGAAAGAAATAATAACAAGAACCTTTCTCAGAAGGCTCACATGATGAGAACACAGCATTGGACTATCTAATTTTAGCCAAGAAATTTTTCAGTTCTTTTCTTTGACAACATTAAAAAAAAAGTAGGTTATACCATGGATTAATAAAAATTTCTTGGAAATTCTTGAGGACTGATATAAGAAGACATTCTAGCTTGAGAATGTCTTACTTGGTTACCTGCAACAAAAGTAGATAGTGGGAAAAGGAGAGGGAGTGCGACACTAGTTGTGGATCACCAGAACTTATCTTGTGTAGAAATGCATGTAAGGATGTGGGTCAACTACATCACAAAAGAAAGTACTTGGGAGATTAATCAAAACAGTCAAAAATCACAGTTTGGTTCTGATTACAGAAACATGCGGTTAGCTAGAAAGAGTCTGTGTTCCACTCTTCCCCCTTTCTTCTAGGAATAGAAGAAAAATGTTGGTCTTTCCATCAGACAGTGTTCTGGAACATACTATTTTTCATATTCGTTAAAATTGAACGGTTGCTTTCAGTTTAGACTTTTGGAGTTTATATCCATATGAGTTAAGTTTCATCTAAAGTTTCTTCCTGCAGCTCAGATGTCTAGAATTGCCCATGCAAAACACAATCTTATTTAAGGAGGATAATAATAGTGTTCAGACGTACATACCCACACATGTCAGATTGCAATGAATGAGCCCCCCACTGTTCTAGGTCAAAGTTTTTAATTGTGATTCCTATGAAAATAGTGTCATACCAGAGAGATTGTTTTCTTACATAGATGTAGTCATCTTTTCCTCTTTTCTCCCAGTGTGAATGGAACAAGTGGAAGATTTTGTTCACACATGCTCATTGAGTGTGAAAAGAGAGATGAAAGATGTATGACTCTATGTACAAAGCACTGGAAAGAGACTGGTAATAATTTACAAATCCTGCTTTTCCCTTGCCTTCCAAAGTAATGTGGTCCAGCAGCTGGCTTGGCGACTGGTCCAGCCCATGAACTGTTTCTGTTTGGCTTGCTGCCATCTCCCAGTAGAAACAGAGACAGGATACAGGAGGCATAAATGCTTTCTTCACAACCAAACTATCCATTTAGGCCTGTGGTTTGCTAAACCCAAAAAACATGAGAGCTCAATTTCCACCAAATGAGCAGGAGAGATACCCAAAGAGATGACCTCTCCCCACACATGGCCCTTCCAGGATATAACATCAACACCAACACTGCAATTGCACCTACATTAGTGATCTAGTTCAGGAGTGTACTTTTGAAGCAGATCTCCTGTTCATACTTCTTGTTGTTTAACTTGCACTGGGGAGAGGTCTTGGAGGATTTGAACTGGGTTCCTTTGGATTAAACAGCCAGATGTGCTACTGGAACATACCTAGCATGTCCCAAATGCTAATGCACATTTTGACCTACAGAATTAGACTAGAGCTAGAGTGAGTTAAAAACCGTTAAAAGGCATTTAGAGTTGACACAAGATACTCAACACCAGCTATTTCATCCTACGTATCTTCTCTTGCCCCAGACTACTTGTTAATACAGACATAGCCTATTCTGGCTTCTGGGAGAACAATCCCAAAACTGCTGTCCATGTGGCAAGTCTGGGCTACTTTAGA